TGATTGTTTGTTTTTTAATCTGATCCTTTCTCTCCCTTTGTCATTTTATGCTTGTCCCTTTTGTTGTTGTTGTTGTTTTTACGCTCTTTCAGTATCTCCCCTTTCTTATGTGGATAGTCAAAGAATAATGTAATGTGGTCCATAGGCCGCGATTTTAATCTTTGTACTGTTCTTCTCTTTCTTACTAAATAAAGTTTATATAGAATGATGTGCACCTCATCAGCCGTTAATTATTTTCAAACGTAAGACCGCTCATCTTGTATTATTTCAATTAAACCATAACAAATACATGGAGTTTTTCAAGCGTTGTCCAATGATATATTTAAAATTATTTTTTGATGAGTTTTTTTAGGTAGACCAAATAAATTTTTATGTAAAATCTGACTAATTAATTAAAAACGCAATTCGTATTCGTCAGCTATTTTTGGTGTTTTTTTCATCGTACAGTCCAGACTTTGCTCTTTCGAATAGTAGATAAATCCTATTATGTTAATAATAATAATAAATTCTATTATTATTATTATTCTATCTGTCGATAAATATCCAGATAGAAGTGAAAAAGTGATCACAAGAATACTTATTGAGTGAATAAAGCAAATCAGACTTAAAAACCTACTGTCTTTTGATAGAAGAATTTGAAATAAAAATCTGTTATTAACAAGGAGTAAAGTTGAGAGCTAGGGCTATCGAATGGTAAAAAAGAAATCCTCCTATCCTTCTTCTTTCATCAGATAATGGTGTTACAAATTTTTTATCTTCCATCGTACAAACACTTTTTCCACTAACTGTATCTTCCTATCATTGTCTGTCGTGTGGGTATGGGCGAAACTATTCTACTTGCGAAGTACCCGAAAGCACTTTCATCAAGATGAGGTTTTCGCACATTTTTTACTAATACCTTCTGATCTTGCGAGAAGAAATGACAGAAAGTTCCTTCACGTCTTATTTTGTACAGAAAAGTGTTCTCTATGAGCCTGCAGATTGTTAAAAGGGCTCGCGCGGGCACAAGTAGCGTAAAAGGGACTTTTGAAAGAGAGCCATAGGATTCCGAACGCTGTAGTTTCGAAATATATTTTGTAAATCTTCATGTACATTTTTTTTCTGTTTGAAGCAAAGCTGGTCTAAGATATAAAGTTTTTCGTGGTCTTTCAGATGGCATCATCAGAAAAATTTTGCCATTTAATAATTTCCGCTTTAATAAAGTTCTGATATCTTCTCGGTTGAACCGGGATTCTTGGATAGCGATACACTGCACTCGAATTTAGTTTTCGTAAAAGTGCGTCAAATGGTTGTATCTAACTAGATGAATAAGTATTTAAACTTTGTATGTCATCTAAATAGGATAAAAAACAAAAAAATTCTACCAACCCTATAATTTTGCATAGGGAAAATGTTTAACTTTTTAAATAAAAATATGATTTTTGGGCTGATCGAGGACTTTCAAAAATTTTGAAAAGCGCGTTTTGAAAAAGAAGAGTTTGCTCTACCAATATCACATATCGGTTTCTTTGCAAAAAAGCGTGATGATCTCACAAGGACCCGAACATGTCATGTGTATAGAGCAAAGCTGGGCAAGTTACGGGGCTTCTAAGTCACAAGTCAGGTCAAATCAAAAGTCATGACTTGAAATTCTTTTTTCGTAGAAAAATGCTCAAATTTTAGTAGACTTCTTTCCTTTCTCTATTCTAAGACATGACTGTGGAGTCTTGAGTACGGTACTCGCCTACTATGTTGATAAAAAATGGATTTTTCTTCGATTTTATCTTCATAATTGCTTTTGAAAAATGGTCAAAATCACTTATAAAATCATAGCTTTTCGGTGGAGGAGCACTTTTATCTAACACTGATTATGATTCCCGACCTAATCATGTATTTTATCCTAAAATTCGCCAGAAAAACCTGATTTTCTTAATTGATGGCTTGGCTTGATTTCTCAGACCAAGTCACAAGTCAAGTCTTTTTTAGAAAATCTCCAAGTCAAGTCGAGTCATAAGCCACAAAAAAATTTACCAAGTCAAGACAAGTTAATTTTGACTTGACTTGACTGGTTCCCCTATGCTATAGAGTGCACCTATAATTTTTCACACTACTGTATAAGAAAAATGTTACTTATTTCAGGATGGCATGCAACCCTTCTGGCTCGAGATGGTGATGTATTAAGCGGTATTCCACGTCAACTAAGTAAACTTCCAAAAGATGCCACTCATTTGTTCATATCGATCGGTGAGTAGACGATTGAATTTTGCAATCATTTTTGAAATTTATTTTTATTCTCAATTTAGGTGGAAATAATGCCTTAGGATATATGATTCATTTGCATGATAGTGTAAAAAATCTTGGAGAAGCACTGATATCATTACACAAAATAAAATCAAAATTTCAAAAAGTGCGAAAAAAATGCTTAAAAATATGTTGCACAGTAAAAAATATTGTGTCGCATTTTGTGTCGCAGCTCCTGTGAGAAAATTGTGTCGCATAATTGTGTTGCCGTTACTAAGAACTTCCAGACACAGTTCTTGATGTCATTTCAGGATCTGCTCTCTTCAAAAAATTGCTAAATTTTATGTTTTACTATTTTCAGCAGTCTTCATTAGTATTTTCTCGGC